ATTATTTCTTAATATTATTAGAACAGATTATTTTCATGATGCACAGTGTCGCTCATTCAAGAAGACTGAGGGCATCTGGGAACATGTCACCTCAGCATTCTCATATAATTATGCTGTATCATTGAGGACTGCTAGAGAAGATTTGAAGAGGACCCTGCACATTGCTTGAATTGAAGGTATGTTGATATGGTAAGTATATTTAATAATTTAAAAAGCAGCGGTGGTGGGGGCCTGCAGGGCAAGGCGTAGGGCTTTAAGCCACATTTGAAGATGGTTTACACCAACTTTATTATACCAGTTAACAGAAGTAATATACCTAAACTCAGTTTGGTCTCCTTGAACTGCTCCAGATTTTATCATTTCATAATATACATTTATTCACAGGCTTTTATGGTGGCACCCATACAAAGTGCATTGTTCTAACATTATGTGTAGGCCCCCACCCCATCGGAGAATCCGCTTTCTCCTGAAAATTATTTCCTAATTAGCAGAAAGAAAAACCAACAAACTGTGCAATTTATTTTAATTTGGTAAATAAGCCAGAACATTTTCATTAAGCGCATGTTGATTTGTTTTGAAGGATAAAGGCTGGCCCCTATGTGATAAGTTTACAATAAATGCAGAAATGTGCTTATTAGCACTCCTTTTTCCTCTCTGAGTTTTAACTATTTCGATGTACATGCTGGAAAAAATACGTGAATTCAGCTGATTGTTCATTATAATAATGGAGTTACCTATATAGTGAAACCTATATTTTCAGTACAGAAAGTTTTTTTTTTCCTCAAATATAAAGACAGACTACCATACCCAACATTGTAAGTAGGTGAGACATTAAGGCAGGTAAGACATTAAAATCCTTTACAGCTCATCACTGTAGAGTGGTTTTTCTACCTCCTGGTGTACATAGGGATAGCTAATATGTGTCATGTTATATGCAAGTGTGTCCTTGTGGTGGTCATTTGTGTGGGAGAACGTCTTTTATGTTTTTTTTTTAATTTATTTTTTTTATTTAATAATTCTTGCAATGTGGCTGACATGTTGCTCATATGGTAAAACAGTGGTAGTGACAGGTTCTCTTTAATGCAACATTAGAAGTCTATTAGACCCCTGATGCCTCTTATGCCCTTAGTCCATGCAAATTAAGGACACAGATTAAGGAGTCCTCAAGCTTTATTGCCCACTGGCAGCGAGGTTCTGTCAGCCCTTATCCAGCCTAGAAGAGATTTCCCACCTCTCTGCAGCAGACCTCGAGGGGGCGCAAAAGGTGGAGCAGGCTCCGCATTAGCCAATTGTCCGCCAGCGATCACAAAAATAAAAAAAAAGCTTAGGGAGAACAATATTCTAGTCTTTGTAACGTTGCAAAGCATATTTTGTGACTCAGTAGCTTAATGGTTCCTAAGAAAAGATTTTGTTCTTTATTTATTTTCTTTTGATTTGTTTTCAGTAACATTGAACCCATCTGTGCATTGTGGCACATTGAGACATGCATGCTTTGAGGTTCACTGGCAAGGTGTGTTACTGCCAAGCACCACACTGCAGGTCCTGCCATCTGTCTGGGAACCCAGCCTCTACATTTATTTTTCTTTGCATGTCTCTTCTTTACAGTTGTGCATAACTATGATTTTCACCATTTCATCAAAGCCTCAATTGTTTTGTGTGTTATAACAACGGTTTAGGTTTATTTTCACAGAATATATTGAAAAAAACATATACACAGCTACCATGAGTCAGCCTTTAATTCTACTGGTCCTGTGCTTTCAGAAAATGTTGGGGTTTAATAGGTGTTTTATAAGCCTTTATTTAACCTTCTTATATGTGAAGACACTGTACTGTGTATTGAGAGCTGCATAGGGTGGTTATTGAACCCTATGTCTGTAATGGGAAAACAATAAACATTTACTCCCTTGCTGATTAGTTTCTCTGTAGCAGTACATTAATTTTTCATAATACACAATAAGAAAAATTAAAAGCTTGTGGGCACAAGGATGTATCATTTGAAGGTTCTCCTCCTCCTGAATGGTGGTGATTTACAGCAGCCAGGGGCCATATTTCTTGTGTGACCACAATTTATTATATGAAGTAATTTATTTATTTCAGCTTTGGCAAGACACAAAAGTTGCATATTTCAGAAAGGTGTCAGGAGAAGTGCTCTATTTCAAGGTTTTATGTGAGGGTTATTTACTGAAGCAGCAAAATTCACAGCTTATATCAGGCAATATAAGAGAGGACTGGACAAGCATGGTTCATCACTGCAGTTGTTCTCTTGTCCTGTTCTTAGCCAAGGAAGAAATTAATAGTTTTGGTGCAGTAATACATGTTGCCCATAGATGAGAGCTGGACTTGGCTATCTTTGCCTAATTTCATAATTTTATTTGTGGCTTACATTTTTGGAAAGCTCCATTTACAGGCATAATATGAATGTTTACTGTTTGAATCCTCTTAAAGATTTTTAAAAATTCTGAAACAAAACACACAAGTGTACCCTGCGATACTGTGGTTTTTGCCATGATCTTCCTAAAGAGTTTTTTCTTGAAAAAAAAATAAATAACTTTTAGCAGATGCTGCACCACTGATGGCATTTTTATTTTTTTATTTAATGAATGTCTTGATCTCAAACCTTAATTTCTTTGTTTAGCAGATGAGCACAAAGGACTTTCTCCTAACCACAAAGGTTTATAGTTCAGCACTGAGGTTTGCTAGGTCTGTTAAGTAAATGGCTGAAACCAGTCCATGCTATTCTGTTAACCTGGAGCAACAGTTGCAATGCAATCACTAAAGCCAACAATAGCCCCAAAACTTCTAAACCTTCATGGCCACAACAATGGTTGCCATTAACTTGGAGACAAGCATTTTTATGACTTTACCAAAAAGACCATCTGTAAAATAGCCATCACATCATTCAAATTACATTTGATGGCACTTAACTGGGTACTTAATTTCATGCTGGAAATGGATTGCAACTGCTAGTGTATTTACTCGAATGCACATGTTTGTTTCATATCATTAAGTGCTCACTTTCTTGTGCTGACGCAATTAATCTGTACTAGAAGAACTTTTTCAATTTTTCTGATTTACCTTGTATTCAAACAGCACTTAATACCGAAATCACTTCACACTTTTCCTACCTTTTAATGTGACCTATAATCTGTACAATTCAATTAAAAAATACATTTAAAACTTAAACCATTTCGCTGCCAAGCCCTGCCTAACACCTTTGGCCTTTTTTGCAATTCATCACCGTTTGTAGAAGGCCCCCCCCCGCAACAGTTGCAGAAATGTTTATCAAACAATATTTTCAGCTCACACAAAAAAACCCTTACAAGATTCCTACATCTAAAATATTAAAAATTGTACTGAGTTAAACATTTTGTAAATTAAAAATTGTGCTTTTTTGAAAAACTGTAAAAAAAAAATGTAAAGATGACCTGTGATATTGCCCTTTTCAAATAGAAAGAGTTTGGGGCCGCAGAGTCCTCAATCTTTTTTTTGTTTTTTATTAAAGCCCCAGCACCCAATAAACAGGAGCCCTCAGTACAAAGGCTTTCTGTTCATTCACAACTTGAGGAGGCATAGTTGAGGAAGCATTCATTTGTTGATTTGGAGGTATGCTTTGGGTTGTTATGCTGAAAGGCGAAATTCATTTTAATCTTTTTAGCAGAGGCGTGAAGGTTTTGTGCCAAACTTGACTGATATTTGCAACTGTTCCTAAGTCCCTCCACTTTGACTAAAGCCTCCGTTCCAGCTGAAGAAAAATAGCCCCAACACAGAAACCTAGTTAAATCAATGCAGCACTTTGCTGTTTTAGTTCAAGGATTATGATTTTAATTAAAAATGTTCCCCTTCTTTATTATTGCGGTCTTTCCTCCACTCAAACATAAATCTGTTTTTGTTTGCATACTCATACATTTACATCTTATTTCATTTTACAGTATACTGACTTGGGATAGCACTAACTGTAGCAGTTTGATGTTGGCTTTTCTTATCAAGTTAATAACTTTGTATTCCTTGTTGCTTGTGCTACCAAAGCTGTGGCCTTTCGTTACAAATGGAGATTGATTGCCTTACAATATCTGTGACAAGGACAATAGTTCCTGCTATGTCATTTTTGGTTTGAGCATTCCAGTCTGACTGTATTGATTGCCTGTGCCTACCGGAACGTAGCTGTCATTGGAGGATATGAATTATTTTCCTGCTAAGTAGGACAAAGTAAGGACTACAAAGGGGTAAGGCATTGTCGTGGTTGCTCTTTGTAGAAGGCATGGTGCTGTGCATGGTGCTGTGCATGGTGCTGTACATGGTGCTGTACATGTGCACAGCTAAATGTTTGAAAATAGATGCTGGATGAAGTTGTATACAAGGAATGACGAAGCTGCCATAGTTGTGAAAAGGAGTGAAATGTACCATTAGTCTGGGTGGGAAAACACTTACTACGTCTTCATGATTTGGGACATGGTTGAATTCATAAAATAGTCACACTAATGCAAGTTAAAGTAATTGTTTTAAATGTAAAGTGTGTGTGTATATATAGCCAAAATCTTATTTTTGTTTTGGATAGAGTAGGGAAGGGTTCGGTCCCTATCAGGTTATATTTTGTATCTGTGTACCACTGGGGTGATTTTTCCTTTACTCTCAGTTCTGGAGATGCAAGAGGAAATGAGAGGGAATCTCCTTGAAATTAGATATAGCTGTCACTGGAACATTTTCCTTTTATACTGGTGACAACTCTACATTTTTGGATTACCCCTCACTTTGTTTTAATGGCAGTGGTCACCAAGTCAAATGGAGGGGTGATTCTCCCTAGCAGAAACATAGCAATACAAACTTAAGTGTGTATAATCCTCTCTCCATGAATAAAATGCCTTCACATAAAAAATAAACATTCTGCTCCTGATGTTTGGATTCAGTACTGCAAGGTATTAAAGCTGGAATGTTTTATGTCATCCATGTATTAACGTAAAATAAAAATATGAGCTGCCTGTTGAAATTTTTTTGTGTTTCAGGTGGAGGTGGAAGTGGAAGCAATGGACAAGGCTGGAAACTTCATTGGGTGGCTTCATGTGGATGGTGTCAATCTGTCAGTATCCCTAGTGGAACATGCGCTGTCAAAGGTCCACTTCACTGCAGAACGTAGCAACTACTATAAAACTCTCTTGTCTGCTGAAGAGGCTGCCAAACAAAGGAAAGAGAAGGTAAGTAGCTGTTTTTACTCATTGAATTAGGCATTTAATGTGTATTTATGCAAACCTGAGCTCTTACTGTATACTCCCTTGGGAAGACGGATGAAAATTTTTGCATAACTCATGTCAAGCCGTTACTACTCCCGTAGTACATTCCTCCATGGTGTATTGCCATGGGTTCTATGCATTTGCAGGTATACCATATGTTCTCTGTTCGAAACTGCTGTTCTGTGGTGGGAAAAAAAGGTATTGTACAGGGTAGCTTGTTTGATCTAAAAAAAACTTCAAACAGCTTCACTATAAAAAATATATTAACATTTATTAATATAATCCCATTTTTGTTGTTTTTCAATGACCAAAACAGTTTTACTTAACAGGATTGAAGGTCTTGTTCAAATACATTGGAGTGGCAGACTGCTACTACCACCGACTCAAGGCTTACAGCAAAACACGGCTTGCAGCTGGCCAGCTCAGTAAGGCCTGGTTCACACCTGGGCGTTTTACAGCACGTTCCTACGCGCTATAAAATGCTCAACATGTGAAAACCAATGATTCCCACCTGGGCGTTTTACAGCTCGTAGGAACGCGTTGCAAAAAGCCCTACGCCCAAAGAAGTACAGGAGCTTCTTTGGGGCGTATTTGCTGCGCGTATCCATTAGGATACAGCCGGATAGCCCTCGGAAACGCGCGTTTGTCAGGAGTTTTTTTATCGTGGAAACGCGCAGCAAACACACATATTCGTAATGCCTAGGTGTGAACCCAGCCTCAGGCTTAAGTCAGTGCCTTTTCCTGTCCTGCTATATACTCATGGTTGCTTTAGCGACAATGCCGCCGACGGTCCCCTGTGAAATAATAGCGGTCATTATCAAAGCTAT